AAAAAAGGGGAATCAAGATACATCAGGTACAGGTACAAATTCTTCATGATGAATGTGATCATTGTGCATATCTAATTACCAATAAAAAATACCTAAATATCTAAATTACCAATAAAATTAATTTTAAAAATTAAATTACAGGGCTGGGGATTTAGCTCAGTGGTTCCAGCACCTGCCTCGCAAGCGCAAGGTCCCAAGTTCAATCCTCAGTACCAAAAAAACAAAACAACAACAACAAAAAAAATTAAATTACAAATCAATAGCAGAAAGATCTCTAGAAGCTCCACAAATACTTGGAAACTAAGTGATCTACTTCTAAATAATGCAGGGACAAAGAAGAAATAAAAAGGAAAATGTTAAAGTATTTTCAACTGCATAAAAATAAGATCACTACATATCAAAATGTGTGAGGTTTTTTTTGGTACTGGGGATCAAACTTGGGACCTTGCACTTGCGAGCCAGGCTCCGGAACCACTGAGCTAAATCCCTGGCCTGTGAGTTGTATTTTTTTTTAAAAAGATAACATTGGCTGGGGATTTAGCTCAGTGGTTTCGCCACCTGATTTGCCAGCACAAGGACCCGAGTTGGCTCCCCGGTACAAAAATAAAACGAAAAACTTAAAAAGACAACATTTGTGGATGCTGCTAATGCAGTACTCAGGAGGAAATGCACGGGACTAAATATATCAGAACAGAAAAAGGTCACAAATCAACTTAAAAGCACCAGAATAAAGAGAGCGAATTAAAAGAAAAGAAATAATAAAGAGTAGAGTAAAAATTAATTAAACAGAAAATGGAAAAATATTAGAGAACATCAGTGACACCAACAGCTTGTTCACTGAAGCCAAAGAAACTGAAGCTTCAAGCCTAGGGCTTCTCAGCATCAGTATTTCTGACATTCTGCTTCCCACCATAAACAATAACTTCAAGATGATGGGCCTCAACATAAAACCAGAGACTATACATCTTTCAGAAGAATTAGATCAGATGAAATCTTTGTGACCTTGAGTTAGCCAAAGATTTCCTGGCTATGTACAAAAGCATGGTCCACAAAAAACAAACTGACAAGGCCAGGGATTTGGCTCAGTGGTTCCGCCGCCTGCCTCGAAAGCGCAAGGTCCCGAGTTCCATCCCCGGTACCAAAAAAAAAAAAAATCACGCATTTCTTCTCCAGTGGTGGGGATTGAACCCATGGCCTGCACAACACTACGCAGGTGCTCTACCATGGAGATCCATTCCCAACCCAAAATATATGCTTTCAACATGCATGACATTACGTGATCACAGATGCAATCCTTTATTCAGTGAAAGTAGAAAAGAGCACAGCACACAGGTCATTAATATGTATGAAAACAAGTCTTTGATTGTTTTGTTTTTGATTTTATTAAAACAAACACAGTGAAGGGCCGAGGATTTAGCTCAGTGGTTCTGGTGCCTGCCTCACAAGCGCAAGGTCCTCAGTTCAATCCCTACTACCAAAAAACAAAAAACAAACAAAAACACAGTGAAGCTTTGGAGGGTGAACTATTGCATTTAATTTTGACATTATTTCTTAATTAAGGTGCAACTAAAGATGTAGTATTTCCTAATAATGATGAGGGGAAATGACTGCGCTTTTTCCAGTGTGGCCTATCCCACTCCTCGGTGGCATGAGGGGCTTCCCTCCCCACAGCCCAGGAGTCACTCCTTCCTCCAGTGTCCTCACCAGACTAACTGTTCCCTCGGGATGGGGACCATGTCTTCTATCTTGGCACAGCAGTCAGACAGCCTGGCTTCCTATTCAAGGCTGGGTAACCCCAGAAAGATCCTTAACATCCCTGATCCCCAGTGTTTTCGACATAACAGAGGGCTACTGCATGTACATGAGATCAGTGCAGATTTCTCTAAAAGGCCCTGCACAATCTGACACCTGTCGTCACTCCATCATCGAGTTCCCCCCTCCCAGCGCTCAGCCACAATGACCTTCTGATAAATCCACCTCAAGGCCCTTGTACATCTCGTCCTTCTGCTGATCTCCCACACCAGCCTCTTCTCCACAGTACCACGCCACAACAGCATGGCTAGTTCCTTCTCATCTTCCAGTCTCAGCTGTCTCTTACTCTTTTAGACCGGATCTCACTATGTAGTCCAGGATTTCCTTGAACTCACTTTATACGCTGGCCTTGAATTCTCCACCCTCCTGCCTCAGCCTCCCAAGTGCTGAGATTACAAGCATGTGCCTCCATGTCTGGCTCAAGTCTGGGCTTCAATGTCAGCCGAACAGAGAGGCCTTCGGTGGCCTAGTAACTGGGCGGGCCCCTGGTTACTCAGTGTTTCCAAACTGCCTTCTTCCCTTCTCTCCATTCAGTGACAGTCATCCAACATCTGATAAGCACCTACTCTAGGCCAGGCACTGTGCCAGACTCTAAAGGTTCGGCTGTGACTAAAACAACTCTGTGGAAGTGTGCGATGTAGTGGGGAAGAGACACTAAACAAATGAGGGGATACAACACATCAGGCAGCGTGAGTGCTATAGGAACACACAGTAAATCACAAAAGGAGGCATCGGAGCTGGAGTGCAGTTGTGATTTGAATCTGGGGACCAGGGAGGGCTCACTGAGATGGAACACGGAGAGGAGAAGAGAAGGGAGCAGGACAGGCAGGAATTCCAGGAAGGGCACAGTTAAGTTCCAAGGTCCTCAAAAAACAAGCAAGTTGGCAACACCTGTAATGCCCACACTCTGGGAGGCTGAGGCAGGGGGGTCACAAGCCTGAGACCCTGTCTCAGAAAATAAATCACAATCAATCCATAAACCAATAACTAAATAAACACAAGAAGCGCGCCTGGCTGTCCCCCTGCCACCTGAATAAAAAGGATAGCAGCAGGTCAGGCCAGGAAGGTGCCAGGGTGGAGGGGCGGAGCCCTCACCAGAGGCTGCAGGAGCACTGTCAAATCTGCCCCGTCCTGGGATCCCAGAAGAGTGGAAACTTGATTCACACTGGAAAATCTGTGATTAGCTTAGTAACACGTTTTCTTTCCTGCCTGCATTCCCCAATACAGAAGAGATCTGAAGCTGCCCTGGGTCCCATTCTAATCCCAGCACCTAGCACAATGCACTGTAGGAACTCGACACACAGAGGAACAAAGCCATGGTCATCTCTATCAAGTGTTTACTCATACAAAACAAGCGTTCTACACAAGCAAAAGGCAACCAGTATTCTTTGCATCCCTGGCACAGTGCCTTGCATATGATGGGAGCTTGTTTGAGTAAATAAATGAATAATTTCATGAAATAATTGAAAACCTATATTTAAAACATATGATGATAATAACAAATGAATGAATTGCTTTTCATCCTCTGCATCACTTACTAAAACGGGACTGATTCCCTTTTTTAAATTTTCCGTTAAACTCCCACTCTAGGGCACCAAGAGTATTTCCTAAAATACAGCCATCTTGACTCGGTTTTTAAACACACCGGGCAATATCCTGCACCACCATCACCACGAGTCCACAGAAATGCTAACAAATCCCTAAGGGTAAACTTAGGCACGGGAGTTCTTACAGCAATCTTAACGCACAATGCTAACTGACCCAAACTAGTTCGATGTTGTTCTTTATTCAAATACAGGCTCATTAACTGTGGCAGGTGGACAAAGACCTGAGAATTTCCTCCTTTCACTTCTTTAGCCTCTCCGGAGTCCTCCCCAGAACACCTGAGGAAGGCTGCACCTGTTCCCACGGCCCAGTGGGGAGCGGAGGAGCTGGGGCCCACAGTAATCACTCCAGGAAAAGCCTTTGGGAGTCTCAACAGTTTTCCAGAAAGAAAACTAGAGAATCGGCCCCGATTTTACAGTCTGTAAACACAAAAATATTCCATACCATAAAAACTGGGCACTCGCTCTCCCCTGGTGACGTTTTCGGTGTCTCAGGGGTAAGTATTCGAATGTCAGCCCCCAGGTGAGATCAACTGTACTCCCCACCCCTAAAAGTGACCGAAGCCACCGTTCCACAGCGACCAGTGTCTGCAACGAGGCCTTCAGAGCCATGAAAACTTTTGGCGGAGCGGACGGAGCTGCCGCTTACCCCACTGGGTGGCTCCGACTTGCCGGTGCTTGTACAAAACCGCGCCTGTGGCGTCCAGCTCCACGCTCCCTTCCACCGGGCAGGAGAAAATAATAACTTTCGGAAGGCACAGGCGTCTACAGAGGCATCCGTGACACCCAGCTTCCGCGCCTCCATCTAATAAAGCGACTAACATCGTTCTGGGCGGCGCTGATCGAACACGCAGCTCCCCTCCCTCCTCGAGCGCGCCCTTTTTCAACCCGGGAAAAACAACCGAAGGAGGAGAGGGTGGCACCGTCAGACCCCAAAGGCAAATTCAGACAACAAAGACCCCAAGTCATCAAAATGGAACTAGAATCCCGGCCCGCCGGCCGCCACCCCGCCCGGGCCCGCTGCGGTCCCCGAGCGTCCGGGCCGGGGTCCTCGCACCCCCCACCAGTGCGCCCGGCCTCGGGGTCCCGGCTCGAGGAGGCTCCGCGCCGCCCGCTCCCGCAATCTCTGCCCCGCGGCGGCGTTCAAAATCTTTCCCGCCCAGGCGTGACGGGAGAAATGAAAACAATCAGCCGAGCCCGGGCGCCAGGCCTGGGCCCCGCGGGGGCGGCCGGGGACGCGGGCCGAGCCCCCCACGTGCACACCGTCGAGCCCCTTCCCGAGCCGGGTGGAGCGGCGGGCCCGGCCCGGAGGTGACACAAAGAAGCCGGGGAGATCAACGCCACCCGCTGGCGTCTCGCCACCCCGAGCGCCCCGCCCGCGGACAAGTTTGCAGCGCCCCGCACGCACCGCGCTCCCCGCCCAGCAAAGCGCCCCGCGGCCGGGCTCGGACCCGGCCCGATCGCCCCCGAGACGCCCCGGCCGCCCCGGCTCCGCGCCTCCCCTGCGTCCCCGGCCCCTCCCCGCCCGCCCGCCCGCCCGCCCGCTCCGAGGCGCACAGAGCCGGAGCCCCGCGCCGCGCTCACCGCTTTCGCCTGGTCGAGGACGAGGCCGAGAGCACGGGCCGGGCCAGCCCAGGTCGGCGTCCCCGCTCGCTCTTCCGTCTGGCAGCGGGCTCTGGACGCAGCCGAGCGCGCTCCGCTCCCTGTCGCTCGGCGGCCGCAAACCACGCCCCGCCCGCCGCGTCCCGCGCTCGCCGCTCGCGGCCGGAGAGGGCGCGCCCGAGAGCCCGGGGCGCAGCGCCCCTCCCGGCCGCCGCAACTTTCTTCCCGGGCGCAGGACCGCGGGGAGGAAAGGAGACCCGGGTCTGGGGCGGGCGCAGACCGACAGTCCGGTCTAACCCGCGGCGGGACGGGAACCGCACATTCCCGGATGCTTCCTGGCCAGTTCCTGGCCGGTTCCTGTGGGTTCCTGGGCCTGGAAAGTGAGGAGAGAGAAGAGGTGCGAATCTGCTACCGGATCCTGATCAAGGCACGGAGCCCTTGTGGGCCCTTCACAAGCAGAGGGATTTTGATGAAAAATCTGGATCAGTGTTTCTTACGGTGTCGCATAGGGAGCCAGACCTGGGGTCACCTAGACACCACGCGCAGTGCTGTGTCCCTCCCTGCCTGGACGCGCGGCGTGGGGAGCTGCTCAGTCGAAAGACACCACGTAGGTCGTCGGGCTGAAATCTCTGCAGACTAGGGTATCCTTGGGAAAGCCGTCCTGCAGGTGCTGGACTGATTCTCCAGCACTGACTCAGTCCCTGTGCCCTCGGATGATGTCACCTGACTCCCACCCACCTCTTGTGCTGTGCTGCTATTACGGTAGCATTAGGGCACTTGAGCCCCATAGAAAAACCTTCACCTAGGGCTGGGGATTTAGTTCAGTGGTTCTGACGCATGCCTCGCAAGCGCAAGGTCCTCAGTTCGATCCCCGGCACCTCCCCCCCAAAAAAGAAAAACCTTCACCTAGGAATCTGTACTGGGCTAGAGAGACTCTTGTGGGGACGGAACTCAGGGCCTCATGCACATTAGGCAAACATTGTACCCCTGAGCTACATCCCCAGCCCTTGTATTTTACTTTGAGTCAGGGTCTCACTACATTGCTCAGGCTGGACTCCAATTTGGGATCCTCTATCCTCTTGCCTCAGCCTCTAGAGTGCCTGAGATTGCAGGTGTGTCCACTGCGTTGGGCTGAAACTTTGTTTCTTATCGTGATTCCCTAAACGATACCATATAACAACTCTTTCCATAGCATTTGCATTGTATCAGGTAACTACGAATCATGTAGAGTCGATCTGAAGTCTCGGGGAAGCCGGGCATGGTGGTGCATGCCTGTAATTCCAGCACTCAAGAGGCTGAGGCAGGAGAATAGTCAGGAGTTAAAAATACTACTACTACTACTACTACATAAATAAAGTCCATGAGAGCGCCAGGCTTAGTGGGGCACCCCTGTGGTCCCAGCGCTGCGGAGGCTAAGGCAGGATCACTGTGAGTTTAAGGCCAGCCTGGGCTACAAAGTGAGTTCAAGGCCAGTTTGAACTACAAGCGAGACCCTATCTCAAAAAAACAAAACAAAAAAAAAAATCCATGGTAGGTTGTATGTAAATTTGATGCAAAGACCACACCCTTTTCTAGAAGAGACTTGAGTATCTCCGCAGGGGGTCCCTAAAGGAATCTGTGGATGCTGAGGGAGGGTAGTGCTTGCCTAGGTTAGGCGTTGGTTCCAGGATGAAGGGGGTGAGTAAGAGGTGGTGCAGGAGACCCTCAAAGCCAGGTACTGAGCAGGTGCCCCTGGGCCACTCAAGCACAGTCCCATCCCAGTGGCTCAGCTGGGAGGCTTCATGGAACATACACATCAGTTTGCCCCCGGCTTGGGAGGCTGAGGCAGGAGAATTGCAGGGTTGAGCTCAGCTGGATAGGGAGTTCAAGGCCAGCCTGAAATATATAGCAAGACCCTATCAAAACAAAAATTTTAAAAAAGGAAAACCATCACCTCACTATTATTACTTTTTTTTTTTTTTTTTTTTTTTTTGGTACTGGGGAACAAACTCAGGACCTTGTGCTTGCAAGGCAGGCACCAGAACCACTGAGCTAAATCCCCGGGCCTATTATTACATTTTTAAAACAATGGCTTTAAAGTATTTATCTGTTGGGTTTCTATTTCGATTTAGTGTCTTAAAAGTCCAAATTCATACTTGTTGTGTGGCTGCAGCATCTTGCCTGGAATTCTCAGTTAAATATGGTACTAGTGGCCCAAACTAATGACTAGGAACAGAGATTAAAACCTTGACCATTGAGTTAACATATATTAAAGGAAAAAATAGTTATAAATTGAACTCACAATATGGGACCATTATCTCAAAAATGTATACCTCTGTGATAATTTCAGAACTTTTCACCCAAGACAATCTAGGGAAACTATTGAAATAGAATTTTTTTTGAGACAGTCTTGCTGTGTAGTCCAGACTGGCCTCAAACTCATGCCAATCCTCCTGCCTCAGCCTCCCGAGTGCTGAAATTACAGGCAGGTGCCATCACACACGACTGGTGAAATGCACATTTTATTGTGTAATTCTTCACAAAACAACCTTGCAACCAACTTGTCATTCCTTATGCACTGAGGTTATCCCTCTTCATAGTATTCCTCCTTGGACTACCTAGGTTTGCACTATGTATTAATAATGGTTTGGATCACAACAAATGTTTATAAAGCAAGAAGAGTTTGGTCCTGGGGTGTCTTCATAGACCCCTTTTGCCTGATAGGATACACACAAGTCAATCTCAGGCTTTGCAGAGCTGTGGACAAGGCACTGTCTATTACCCTTCTCCATTCTATTCCTCGTATTCATTTCTATTCTTTTTCTGTTGCCTTTGTACAGTAAATGCTACAGTCATCATTACAAGAGTCTAGAGATGTAAGAAATAATTTCCTAATTACTGCTCCCTTGTAGGCATCTGTGCTCCAAACCCTCAGTGAGAGGCTGTTGTTCCACACTGTATCTGGTGCACTTACAAGAATCCAGAATACAGTGTCTCAAAATGTTTTCAGATGCCTCCAATAGAGCTTCTCAATTACCTGTGGCTTCTCCCATGCATAGCAATTTAGATATTAAACTAATGCCTACTTTTAATTAGCAAATAAGACTAAATGGCAAGAGCAATGAAATAGATCCTTTACACTTTGAAGTGAAAATTTAAAAAACATAATGCTAAGCCAAACAGAGACACGCCTAGTCTTTCTGCTCTAGGACTGGAGCATTGTAAACAGATGGCTCATGTCCTCCCATCCCTGGGAAAGAGTAAGTGTTACCGTGAGCCTGGCCACACCCACATCCTCCAGTGTACAAGAACACGGCCGAAGTAAGATAACCCAGGCTGTGGTGTCATATCGCTTCTCAGCTATTACTCAATTCAGGCCTCTGTATTTACAGCAGACAGTCCACTGGGCCAAACAGCCCACCTGTGAGACTTCATCCACTCCACTGCAAGTTAATCAAACTGAAAGTGCATCGAGACTTGTAACACAAGCACGCAGCGCACACGGGTGCAAAGCACTGGAGCAGACATTCCATCCATTCCTGCACACTGTCCTTAGCAGCAGGACAGCCATGAGTCACTGCTAAAGACCATCATCTGAGGACCCCAAGGGAGTTTGGCCCTGCTCAGGCCATTCGGGGAACTGAATCCACACATCTGCTAAGTTAGGCATCAACTCCTCTCTGTCCTCACACAAATCGTGCTCAACAAGAGCTATTTCCGTCCCTGCCTCCCGCACTGGACTAGGATCTGTGAGTCTTCATCTCCACCTCCAGAGAGGCTGAGCAAGAGCGGGATGGGTTTCGTCCCAGGACCGGACTCCAGTCTTGTACTTGGGACCACATTGAGAAGGGTGTGGGGCTATGTGTAGGTGACACAACCAAGAGCACAGAATGACTCGTGGCTGGCTCTCTGGGGTAGGCACAGGAGAGTGTGGTCTACACTGGTGTCATCTATTCATCGACTCCAGTGTCACAGAAGATGACAGTGTTAAGGCACTGGCTGAGGGACCAGTGGACTTCAGATCCACACAGAGTGTCTTTTTCTGGAGGCAGGTAGAATATCCATTAATCAGAGGCAGAGTGAGACATTTCATGATTCACCCTGATTTTATTAACACTGTTACTCCTGGAGACAAATGGAGACTCCTCGCACAGCAACACATCGACACTCCGTGCTCACATCCATCTCTGCCTGTCTCAGGACTCCTTCCGTGAGCACTTGTATAAGCCTGTGACGAAAATAGCTGGCCAGGAAAGCAGTGCTGTTCTTGTCCAAAAGCCAGTCAGTCCTGGAAAGGCCTGAACTCCTTATCACGGTCTGGTCTTGTTTCCTGCCAACCTGGAAACTAGCAGAAATAAACGCTGGTGGGTTGCTCCCCCGCCCAGTGTGAGGACTGAGGACTGACCCACTCAGTGCAAAGGGAGCCGAAGCACAGTGCATATCTACGCTGCCAGCTGAAGCGACTCCAGTGCAAGGCTGGAGCTTAGAGAAATTTTCAAAAGAATACTTCACAATTAAAGGAAGAATATATGTGCAGTGCTGAGCACAGGGCCCAGCAAGCAGTGAGCATTTACCAAATAATAGCCTCTGGCACTACAGTTGTTTCAGTCAGTGTTCATGATGCTGAGCAGGGTATTATTTCAAAAGCATTTTTATTGAGTTGGTAAATTAAGGTACTGAATTTTTTTGTTTCTTTGTTTATTTATTTATTGAAACAGGGTCTTGCTCTGTAGTTCAGGCTGGCCTTGAACTCATTATATAGCCACCCAGGCTGGCCTCAAACTCATGACAATCCTCCTGCCTCAGCCTCCTGAGTGCTGGGATTACAGGCCTACACCACCACACCTGGCTAGCAGGACCTCAAGTTCGAGGCCATCCTGGGCTATATAGTGAGTTTGAGACCAGCCTGAACTACAGGGCAAGACCCTGTCTCAAAAAAACCAAAAATAAATAAATAAATAAAGGAAACTGCAATATGTTAACCCTGATCCCAATAGAGATAAAAGCCTAGACAAATCTATTTTACTACAAGATATAAAGATATCAAAGAATTACCCATACAAGCCAGGGATGGTGGTGTACACCTGTAATCCTAGTGCTGGGAGGATGACCCAGGAGGGTGAGTCTGACC